AGCCCCCACCCTGAGGGACCACCACCCACCGAGGGCCTCACCTCCAAGCCAGGGTTGGTCTGCCACCCCTTCCCCTGGCAGTACATATAAAGTGCATGGCCACTGCCAGCATGTTGGAGGCAGGAGACAGTGGTCCCTGCCAGATTTTTGGCGTGATTGACTGCCCTCCCCCTCCGCCTTGTTCTAATCCCACAGGACATTTCAGAAAGGCGCACGGGTGCTGCTGGGTGCTTCAGACTCACCCTGCCCCCAAGTCAGCCGGAGGGATGGGCGCAGCCTCAGCTTTATTTTCACTGAAAAGATCAAAGCTGGGCTTCCGAGGGTGCTGGGTGCTATCTGGCTCCTTTGGGAAGGAATCTTGACAGAGACTGTGTTGCCTCCTCAGGCACCTGTTGATATAATTTACACCTTGTTATAATTGTCTCAACTTTTACCTGGATCGCTGCCTTTATATTCACAGGAAAGATCAAGGCTTTCTGTGGCTCAAGAGGTCTGGTCTGAAATGGGATACCCACCTGGGCGCCACCTAGTGTCCGGTGTAGCCGTGGCAGGGAGAACACTCACAGAAGGGGAATTCACTCCTCTGGAAATACTTGGGTTCCGGCAAAATGGGAATATAGAAAGATCTAGCATTTTTCTCGCTTCTCTGAAGATAACAGTCAAGTGGCAGCAATTGAGCGGCCTGAATGAAATACTGCGGCGTGACGAAAGTGCTTAAGAGCTGATGTGGAACACACAGGCGCCCTGTGAGTGCAGAGCAGGGGCTGTCCGTGTGAAAGGATGAGCAGGACTTGGACGGGTGGAGGAGAGAAATGCCGAGTGACGGGGGGCGAGGGCAAGGGGAATGCTCAATTTAGGGCAGTGGCTGAAGGGGATACTGAGTAGGGCTGTAGAGCAGTGGTTCTCAACCTTCTGGCCCTTTAAATACAGTTCCTCATGTTGTGACCCAACCATAAGATTGTTTTCGTTGCTACCTCATAACTGTAATGTTGCTACTGTTATGAATCATCATGTAAATATCTGATATGCAGGATGGTCTTAGGCGACCCCTGTGAAAGGGTCCTTCGACCGCCAAAGGGGTCGCAACCCACAGGTTGAGAATCGCTGCTGTAAAGGGAGATGGGAACCTTGAATGCCAGGAGAAATGGTTTCAACTTCACCTTACGGCTCTTGGAACACTTTGAAAATTGTAAGCAGGGAAGTGACAAGTTGGAACAAGTGGGCTGCAATAGTAACGTGGTGAGATCCTTCTGTAACAGACCTGGCTGGGCCAGCGGTGTTCTCAGGAGGGGAGACCCTTGCCAACGGGCATGCCTGGGAGTGGTTGAATGCCTTTAAAGGCTGGATGGGTTCAAGCTAAAATCTACCTCTTTAGTTGTGGCAGCCAGCTCTCCCTCCAGGGGCTGCAGGGTTACAGTTCCAGAACTCTCTGCGGACACACACCAGCCTGAGCTTGGGAGAAAACGTCTGTGGAAGGTGGAGTAACTAGCCAAACCCGTGTGTCAGCAGAGAAGGCTGGGGTTGGCCAGACATGAGGTGGGGGAGACTACCCGATTATGCAACTGCAGTTTGTCCAGTGCAGTGCCCGCCTTCGATTTTTCTGCATTTGGGGGAATCACTTCAGAAATGAGGACAGATGGGAGGGAGTTACGAGTGGCCTGGGAGAGTACCTAATACCGCCCCTTCAGTGGGAGACAAGAACGTGACTTTCCCAAAGTTCCACAGCTGCATGTTCTAAAGTGCCAGGGAGGTGTTCAGTGCTTTAGGTCTAACCCTCCCAGTTGGGGAGGTACTGTTACCATCCTCGTCTCTAGGTGAAGAAACAGGACAGGGAGGATGAATACTGGTGGGAGGACTCCTAGCTGGTAAGGGGAGAGGGCCAGGGAAGGAACCCGGAGCCAGACTCCCGGTTTCTGGCTTGTCCAGGGGTGGGGGTGCTCCTGCCCCTCCACGACCAGAGGCAGCCTTCCAGGCCACAGAGGAGGCACCACGGTTCCCCGCCATCTCTCGTGTGGCAAGAGCTGCCTCCAGGCGCTTAGCGTGGCCCGTGGTCTCTCAGGGCCCCGCTCAGTGCTGAGCTTGCAGGAGACGTGAAGCTGGGACTTCCCCATGGGGTGAAGGGGCAGTCACACCCCTCCGGCCTCAGCCTGAGGGTGACTGCTCTGGCCACCCAGTCACAGGAACTCGCGATAGCTGCTCACCCCTCAGGTGGGCAGGGATGGGCTGGCTGTGCTGCCTCTCCCTGCCTTTAAGCATCACTCAGAGGGAGACGAGTCTCCTCCTGCAGTGGTCAGGGTGAAGGAGAGACCGTGGAGGTGGTCATGTGGGGGCCCGGGGCTGCCGTCAGGGCAGCAGAAGGCAGATGGGAGGGACGTGTATAACACCCCCACCCCCACCCCCCCACACACACATCAAGGTATCCCCATCACCATGAGCAACATGAGGGCATGGCCTATCCGCATGGTCTGGAGTGGAGTGTACACTGGGGGCGGGGGGAGAGGGGCGTGTTCTTTTGAGGCCACACAGAGCTGGCTGGCTTCCTGCTCCAGATGCCTTCCTG